GGGACATCAGGGGACATCAGGGGACAGCAGGGACACCTGGGGGACCTGGGGACACCCAGGGACATCAGGGGACAGCAGGGACACCTGGGGACCTCGGGGACATCAGGGGACAGCGGGGACACCTGGGGATGTCAGGGGACACCTGGGGATGTCAGGGGACATTGGGGACATCCCCGGGAATGGGACACTGGGGACACCCCCAGGGGTTCCCTGGGGACAGCGGGGACATCAGGGGACACCCGGAGACACCTGGGGACCTCGAGGGGACATGGAGATGTCAGGGGACACCCAGGGATATCAGGGACATCAGGGACACCCCCGGAATGGGACACTGGGGACACCCCCAGGTGTGGTGGGACCCCTTTGGGGCCCCCTTAGGGACCCCCTTGGGAACCTTGGGGACATCCAGGGGCCCTTGAGGACATCGGGGACACCCCCGGGGACACCCCAGGGATGGGACAGGTAACTTTGGGGCCCTTGGGGACACCCCAGGAGATGGCAGGACCCCCCTGGGGACCCTTTTGGGGCCAGCGGGGCCATGGGGCCGTCACCTGGGGACGTCGTCGTCGGGCAGCAGGTCCTTGGGGCCGGGGGAGAAGCGCCGGGGGGACGTCGGGGTCAGGACCGGGGGGAACTCGGGGCCCAGGAAACTCTGTGGGGCCAGGTCAGAGTCCAGGTGGGCTGAGTAGGCTGGGGACAGCAGGGGACACGGACATCAGGGGACAGCAGGGGACATGGGGACAGGGGACATGGACAGCAGAGACATGGGGACATCATGTCCCCCCATTCCCCATGTACCTCCAAACCCCCTCACTGTCCCCCAAACATCCCCTCACATTTCCCACCCTTTTCCCCTCACATTTCCTGCCCTTTTCTCCTCACATTTCCCTCCATTTTCTCCTCACATTTCCCACCCTTTTCCCCTCACATTTCCCACCCTTTTCCCCTCACATTTCCCACCCTTTTCCCCTCACGTTTCCCTCAATTTTGTCCCCTCATGTTTCCCACCCTTTCTCCCCTCACGTTTCCCGCCATTTTGTCCCCTCACGTTTCCCGCCATTTTGTCCCCTTCTGTTTCCCGCCATTTTGTCCCCTCACGTTTCCCTCCATTTTGTCCCCCACTCCCCCCGCTGTCCCCCGTCCCTGCTCACAGCCGGTGACGTCGGGGGGTCCGTAGGTGTCCCCGAGGCCGGGGGTGGCCTTGGCCACCCTCAGATAAACCACGTCGTACGTGTTCTTGAGCGCGGCCACCGCGTCCTCGTGCATGACGTCCTCGAGGCTGACGTTGTTCACCTGGCACAGCGGCGGCGTTGGGGACATCGGGGGGACATCGGGGGGACACCAACCCACCCCAGCACCCAGAGGTCCCTTTCCCCATCCCTAGCCTGTCCCCAGGGTGTCCCCAGGACGTCCCCAACCCC